AAAAGTTGTGTCAATTTGGAATTTCAAAGTGAAGTCTTTTATACTGTAATTACAATATGCTTTCAAATATGCTCGTCATTTTCAACTTTCTTTTTCGTGAAGTGTTTCTAACATTCAAAAGTTCACTTATGAGGTCTTTTATTCTTTCATCTCTTGCCAGAGATTGCTTCCGCTAACTCATCCTCAAGCGCAATTGTTGTCCATTCGATGGTACTGGCATTTTTCTATAGTTGGAGGATCGTATGCTTGAAAAAGTCATAGATGGGAATATTTGAAATAACATCGCCATCCAGGTTCAAGAATTTAACGTAATTAGTAATTTTTATTTTTATTTTATTATTCTTATTAATTTTTTTTTTGTGGAAAATATAAAAATAAACATAACTAATAGAAAGTTGGATCTGGAGAAATATTTTTCAAAAAATGAACAAAAATATAATAATGAAAAAATACTGGTACAAGGAAAGTATGAATTGAAGGAACAATTAGAAACAAATGAACAACTTGTTAATAATTGTAAAATTATACTGTTAAAAAGATTATTAGAGCATTAAGAGAATGTAAATAAATGAACACAAGCAAGTATCGCCTTTGAGAAAACCTTTGATGGAACGATCGCACCGTCCTACATGGTTCGACCATCGAATAGAGAGTCACCATCTCATCGAATGACCCATCCTCACCCAATGAGATGAAGCTACCTCAGGACTTAAAGTGGAAAGAGGAAAGAAAAACTTAGCACTCCGGAGGTGATCTCACTTCATTGGATGAGGGTGAACCACCACTGATGAGGTGGTGACTTCCCATTCGATACCAAAGTTTTTCTCGCGTATTAGGAGGGTGAGATCCAAGTCACTCAACCCCTCAAAAAAGGAAAATACAAATTTTACAGAACAAGCCAATTTACCTTCCCAAGGACTTGCAGTCAACCACGACACGTAATTCGAAATGAAATATCATAGTACAGTGGACTTAAAATAGCTAGTCAAAGATGACAACTTAAAATGTTTATATTAAGTCAATGAATTACATTGAATAGACAAATTTAAGGATATGGCTCACTGAGCCACCATTTTCATACTGTCAAAAGTTCTGTAAAAATTGCAAACTCCAAGTTGATTAATTCTAGTTCCAACCTGATTGACTGTTCCACGAGAAAAGAAGCATATACTTTCAACAAGAGTCCAGAAAATCTCACCACCATGTTAACTCTCTATCATCAACTTGGCATAATTATGCTTATAAAAAATTATTACCTTCACGAGACTTTAAAGAATTAGATTTCATGCTAAAAACGTGTTATTAAAAGAGAGAAAAATCTATTACAAAATCGAAAAATAACTTATTCTTTCGCAATTACGAGGTATTTTATGAAAGAAAGAGAAACGGGATAATTACTCTCTATAAAATAAAATACAAAACGAATTTCTTAAGTGCCAATTTGTTAGTTTTGAGAGTAAATGCAAGAGCAAGAGCAAGAACACAAAATCAACATCATATGTCACTCAATTTGAGTGCACAAAACTTGGACAAAGAGCTTCAATATTTTTTGCCGTTTGGCACAATTAGTTAATGCCTAATTACTCCCCTAATTAAGCATAAAGATCGAAGAACAATTATTTGGATCGATTGGTTGATTACATTATTTACAAGACTTTTTTTGTATCTATATATTAGGTACGATTAAACAGTAAAACGAACAAATTTATTATCGGTGAACGTTACATCTTAACGAAACAACTATTATGCATGGTGCTTCTTTTTTGGATGGAGAAAATTTATATACAACACTACTATAAGAACAAACTAAGAACTTGTTTGGTAGGAATTTTAATAATTAATTTTTTGACCGTTAGAGATTAAGTGGGTCCTACTTGTGGGATAAGAATTCAAAAATGACGACTGTAATAGTGAAATAACGGTTAAAAAATTGATTTTAATTAGCTTAAAATCCCAAACAAACAAGCGCTAAGAATGATTTCTAATAAAGTTGAGGAAAAAACACGAATTCATTTCTATCTTTCTTTTCTTTTCTTTTTATTTTTTTCAACTCCATTAAATTTGCGACTATTAAAATTTACAAAAATGGCACTTCCAGACATGGTGATATTTTGCATGTGACATGCACCATAAAACACCTCACGTGGTAGATCTTATGATTTGGAAATTTAGCTAAAAGCAGCCTAAAATATTAATTTCATGTTTGGCTCCCATTTTTCAAAATATAATTTTTTTTAAATTTATTTTTAATCACATATTTCATAGGATCCACATATTTTATCAATTTTATTTTATTTTATTTTTTTAAAAAACTGATTTTTAGTCAAACATGATAGGGTTAAATATCGTGTACGCTTAAGTTTAGAAAAACCCAAAACATGCTCTAAAAAATTAATAATAATAGATTCATTCTTACAAACAATGTTAGCGTGCACGTGACTTTCTTGTAAGTATAGGTTCGTAAACTTTTTTCAATAACAAAACAGCTCCAGTACCTGGGGAAAACAAGAAGAGCCACCCTCCAAAAATATATTTGTATGTATGTAACTCGTCGTGCCTCCGACACCAAAAAGTTGGCAAATGTGCTTTCAAGACTCTAGATATATAGTATATGAAAGTTGAGCATGATGCACGAACGTATAACCTTTAACAGAAGTCCAAATAAGGCCGTGGGGTGCCGATAAGCAATTACAAGAATAAACAAGGTCTTGATGGCATTACAACGACATTTGCACTATAGAAGATTTTGAAGTCTGGCTAATATTTTAAGGTCTTGTACAATGTTACAAAAGGCGAGTAAATATAGAGGTAGATTTAGGCATGTTAAAATCGTTGAGCAAGGCAACATAGCTCAAGCTACCCATGAGCTCGTCTCTTGGTGGGGCAAGCAGATCTAGCTCATGAGCTATGTATAATGTGATATCAAATGTTAAATATGAAGATATTATTTCGATAATAATATAAGCGTGAATGTTACTACGGTGATCCATAGTTGTAGATAGAGGAAATAATATGGGCAAGTCCTAATATTTTTGAAAGGAAAAAGATAGTTGTACAGCATATAAGGGCTATATAAGTTGATGTACAACTTGCTGTACATGCAACACTCTTCTTTTTGAAATTTCATCTATATCGTAGCAATAATTTCATAAAAAATGAACAATCTCTTACCAAGCCCCCGTTTGTTTCTCATTTTTGGAAGAATGAGAATGAAAACTATAGTCATTACGAACCCCATACAAGAGATAGAAATTCAAATTTGGTGGCTTGATGTGATAAATAACAGTTATATTTTTCATTTTAACGAGGAAATAATGGCAACCAAACAGGGGCTAAATCTTTTTGATATATTAAAAAATGAGTAAGGACAACATGATCAGTTGGATAGTAGATGCTTGTGCACATGTTGGTCACAAAACATTTGGAGAATGAGTTACAGAATAGTGATTTTTTGGAAAATGTGTGATTAAAAAGCAGGAAAAATTTTGAGTTTATGTGTAAAATAGTTTATTGTGCAAATGTATTGTTGAAAACGAGTGAGAAAAAATGAGTTTTCATTTAATGGAAGACAAACAAGGACTAAATCATAATCAAAACCGTATAAATGCCTAGCGTCGTAAAATTAATAATTGTTGTAACAAATATAAGATGTGATTGTAGCATGAGATGGATATAGTTTCACCTGTTATTGTGACACAGTTTTGCATCAAAATATGAAAAACACGACACATATGAAAGAGTTTTGATTCAAAATCCGGATTGAGTTGGTTAATTAATTTTTCTATAAACATTTGTGTTAACATTAGTGCTATCAATAGAAAAACTATGGACCTTATTTTCTTAACAAAATTCTCGTAGGACGAACATTAAAACATTAAAAATATTTTGTGCGTTGTTCAGAAATTCAATGACTTTAAATGCAATTCTTTTATGCAAATTAAAACTTATCAATGTAATAGACAGTAAAGCAAATATAGATTTTTTTTTATTTTATTTTTTTAGACTACATACGGAAGTAAAAGAAATAAAATTTCTTAAATAAACAATTATTTATAATTTTTTAACACAATATAAATAAAGAATTAATCTACATGTATCAAATATCTTATATAATTTTTGACCGAATTGACAAGTGGCGCCCCCCTATTAGAGGGGCGTCTGTCTATTCCAATAAGGACACGACACTTGTCAATTTGATTATTCATTTGATAAATGATTTGGTACATATAGCATCTCCCATAAATAAATAGCATCATTGCGTATCATATCTCAAAAGGTTGTTTTGTTGATGGGCTCGAGACATGCTTTCTACTGTGGATAGCAAATATTCGACGTAGCCAACGAACGTAACCATGTCTTCTTGTGTTGTTTCTGGTCTATAAACTCAGTTTGCAAGGAATGCTCCGGAAGGTGCCTCTTTGCTTAAACTGAAATAATGTTTAGTAAGGCATTTTTCGTACCATCGGCTGGACGGAATTGTGTCAATTTGGGACTTCAAAGTGATGTCTTTCCTACTGTAATTACAATATGCTTTCAAATATGCTCGTTGTTTTCAACTTTCTTTTTTGTGAATGTAAATAAATGAACACGAGCAAGTATCGCCTTTGAGAAAACTTTGATGGAGCGATCGCACCGTCCTACATGGTTCGACCATTGAATGGAGAGTCACCATCTCATCGAATGACCCATCCTCACCCAATGAGGTGAAGCTACCTTAGGACTTAAGGTGGAAAGAGGAAAAAAAAAACTTAGGACTCCAGAGGTGACCTCGCTTCATTGGATGAGGGTGAACCACTAATGAGGTGGTGGCTTTCCATTTGATATCAAAGTTTTTCTCGCGTAGTAGGAGGGTGGGAGGGTGAGATCCAAGTCACTCAACCCCTCAAAAAAAGAAAATACAAATTTTACAGAACGAGCCAATTCACCTTCCCAAGGACTTGCAGCCAACCACGACACGTATTTCGAAATGAAATATCATAGTACAGTGGACTTAAAATAGCTAGTCAAATATGACAACTTAAAATGTTTATATTAAGTCAATGAATTACATTGAATAGACAAATTTAAGGATATGGCTCACTGAGCCACCATTTTCATACTGTCAAAAGTTCTGTAAAAATTGCAAACTCCAAGTTGATTAATACTAGTTCCAACCTGATTGAATGTTCCACGAGAAAAGAAGCATATACTTTCAACAAGAGTCCAGAAAATCTCACCACCATGTTAACTCTCTATCATCAACTTGGCTACGACCTTGATGACACATTTTAAGAAGCTTAGACCTTGAGGAAACTATCTGAGAAGCTGAGAGTACTTGAAAATTACAAGTCTGTTCTATCTTTTCGCAATGAAGAATGATGTATAGCCCATGCTATCTTCTACAATCTGGTTTCACTCTTTCCGGCATTCCATTCAGGGAATTGAATTCTAGCACATTATGAGAAGAGCATCACGAGTGCGCCCAAGCAAACTCAATGCTGTAGCAGCAATATGATTCCCACTCAACCCTGCAAGAGCAAGTTGATCCTTAGGTACTGCACCCTCAATGTAGTTGTCGGGCAAAGTGATTGGGCGCCACTACAAATCAATTTTGTGGGTAAGTAAAGATTCACGAGAGTTTCACTCTTTCCGGCATTCCATTCAGGGAATTGAATTCTAGCACATTATGAGAAGAGCATCACGAGTGCGCCCAAGCAAACTCAATGCTGTAGCAGCAATATGATTCCCACTCAACCCTGCAAGAGCAAGTTGATCCTTCGGTACTGCACCCTCAATGTAGTTGTCGGGCAAAGTGATTGGGCGCCACTACAAATCAATTTTGTGGGTAAGTAAAGATTCACGAAGGGATTAAAATTTTGGCTTCAACTAAGTAAATGAATCATCAATAAAAAGGATAATGCAAAATGAAACCTACCAAATTTATTTTATTTTTTTTACATTGTATCATTATCGGTTGCAATCCTCGAAAATAAGTGAAGAAAGATGAATAGACATTTATTATAAAATCAAATCACTTTACAAATCAGACTCATTCTAATGTCTGTCCTAATAGACCAGTACTTTCGACCCAAGTTCATTCTTTCAAGACAATTTTTGCTCCTCAAAGGTATTTTTGGACTTTGTGGAATCATATTACTCCATAAAAAATGTGGTGGATTACCTCCAATAAAAAAAATAAAAATTTATGTATGATTTCCATTTTTCATTCCTATGTAGCTCAAGGGTCAATAAGTTCTTCCGACTAAGTGCACACAACTTTGTTGTAATAATACTTGCAACCAAAAGGAGATACGAGATACTTCTACCCTCATATATGTGGTTTTTAATTATTTTGATATTGTTTACGTTTATATGAAGAATTTGCATTTATTCGTACAAGCATGGATGCTCTATCAAAGCCTGGTCAATTTTCAGGATCGAGGAAACTCTTTCCAAGTATCCAACACTGGTGAAGAAAAAAAGAAGAAAACCAAGTGCCAGATAAAGATATTACCTTGATTCCAGCATCAAGTTGCCCATCAAGTGAAATGAATTGAGCAACATGTGCTCCAAATCCTCCAATTGAACCTTCCTCTACTGTAATCAAGAAGGCGTGATTCTTGCATAACATCCTCACAAGGTTTATATCAAGTGGCTTGCAAAATCTTGCATCAGCAACAGTAACATCGACACCAAGCTTGGAAAGAAGGGAATGAGCTCTAAGACAATTTTGTACCATGGAACCATACCCCAGCAAAGCAATATCTTTACCCTCGATAAGTATTTTCCCTTTACCAATCTGCCTCACACAAACCAAGCAAGGAAGATTACAAAATAGGACTTAAAACAGAGCACAAGAGCAGTAAAATTTAATCATTAAAATTTCAAGAAAGGGTCATGCCAGAAGGCATGAAAGAATTCCAGTCTCAAAGAACATTGTATAAAAATTCAAACAAAATATAAAAATATACGAGAGAAATTCAAGATGTTTTTTTTTTGAGTTACCCAGATCTATAAAAAGATAAGAAAGAATCCCACAAAGTCCTCAAAGAACGTCATATAAAAATTTAACCAAAATATAAAGATATACAGAATGAAGCAATACAAGAGGTTTGTCTGAGTAACCCAGATCTGAGAACTTACAAAGGATAGGGTTTGGGTAAACCTCCCGCATCATCCCAGAGAAGCATATTGAGTTTATTGCCTGTAATTGTATGCTTTGATTGACATA